AGTGAGGTTACTTAAATGGCATCTCCTTGAGTTTGTTTGCCAGTAATACCAAAAGGAACAGTCAAGCCAAGTGAACTTAACAAACTGTCCTCTCTGCATTAATAGTGAAAAACATGAATGTTTGCAGCCAAATTGAAGCTGCCTTCAGTTCTTAATAAACACATTAGGCCTGTGTCCAAGTCCTAATTTGGAATGACACACTCAAATTCTTGTTCATTCAGGCTTTTCTGCTCATCTCAGGAGCATTGCTATACTTCGATCCATCCTGAGTTTGAGCGATACAGAGGATTACATGCTTTTATCTCTTCTTGCCTTAACTGCTGCAGTGGCCTGTTTGTTTGCTCTAACCAAAAAGAGAACGCCTCCAGTGTGGTGAGAGTGCTGAAGCAAGGCTTTTACCTACAAAAAGAAAATAGAGGGGCCAAATACCTCCCCCTCCTCACTGATGGCTTCACTGATTTTTGTAGTGATTATGTGCAAATGTTTTCCTGACTGGCTCCAGGTTATCTCTCTGAACTTTTGACTACTTCACAGACTGCATGACTGACCTGACTGTGACTGTGTCCAGGCTAAAGAGCAAAGGTGACTGAGCTTTGGCCATCATGGCTCTGCTCTGCATGAATAACTGAGGCTGGCACTGCCCGTATCTTCTTCTGTAAATCTCTTCCTGATGCTTACCTTTCCTTAAAGGTTATGTGAAATTTGCTAAACTAGATGTCGCTCTAAAGCACCAGCTCAGACCAAAACAATGTTCACTACAAGCCCACCAGTCTCCCCTGACAAAAGTGGTGATTTACCTAGCAGATAAAATACACTTCACACTGGATGGAACCTAAATCAAACTCCAACAATCACCAATGCTGGTTTGGTTGAAATAAATCCCTAATTCACAGAGTTCGATGAGAAAATAGCCACCAAAGGGACACAATGGCTGCAACATAATCCTTGAAGATAAATGTGACAAACTGCATCCACTAAAAGATTGTTATTCTAATGGAAATGATCCGTACAGAAATAGACCCTTTCTTTAAGCAGACACTACACCAGACTCCATAGTCATTTTACCTCACTTCATTCAAAGTGGACAGAAACTAAATAAA